TAACTTGATGAGACAAATATGAAGGCTTAGTGAATATTAACAAACAATGTACTTCATTTTCCAATTGGTTGATCTCATTCCTACTAACAAATAAGTAGTCATCACACTCTCGTGTATAGAAGATCTGTCGGCATCTCTTTTACTCACTCAACTCTTGTTTTTGGGATTTGAGTGTTTGGATTTTGAAGAAGAGGGATTGAAAGAGGTTTGGAAAAAAACTGCTCAACAATTTTTTGTGAGTCAAGGGTGTTTGAAATGGACTTACTTGTCACATCATCTTTGCTTACAAAGACTTTCTTGCCATTCTTTTGAGCCCTTTCCTTGTTTTGCTTCGCCACATATTGTTTGTACAGATACTTTTGATCCTCGTTGACTTCTCTCGAACTCAATGGCTTCAAAGTAATAGGTTTCCGAAGATAGGAGAAAGTGTACCTATTACGATATCCATCATAAAGTACTTTCTTGTCAAATTACTAAGGCCGTCCTAGTAAGACATGGCAAGCTTGCATCGGGGGTACGTTACACCTTAATTTGTCTTTGTAGCCTTGAATCTCAAACTCCAAATCCACTTGTTTGATAACGTTGATCTCACTACAATTATTCAACCCTTATAACTTATACAGCTTCAAATGAACAATGGTTTTCAAACCCAACTTCTTTACTGTAAGGTCACTAATAACATTATTGCAACTACCTCCATCAAAGATGAAGCTACATACTTTTTCTCATACCTTGCATCTCCCATGGAATAAGTTCTCCCATTGCTCCGTGTCCTCAACATTCATGGGCAAGGTACTTAAAGCTCGCAAGGTCACCAACGTTAGTCCACTATTGGTTATGGATTTATCCTCCTCCGGATTGGTCTCTTCGGTCTTCTCCATGTCCTATTCAGATTTGGATACATAATCTCCAGTGGAAGTGATGATCATAGTTTTCTTGTTAGGACATTGATTGACAAAATGTCATCGTCCTTGACACTTAAAACAAAATAACTCACGAGTGCAAGTAGTGAATCCATTATTTTGAGAATATGTTGTACCCTTTGAGTGTGACAATGCAAGAATGACGATTTTTTCCCCTTACTTGCTTTTGAGGGAGTTTGCGGCTTTGACACGTTTGTCGGTTGCGGCGTCCTTTGATGTATGCGCTCCTTATTCTTTTTCTTCAATTGTCTCTCCAATTTGCATTTCCAAACTATCAACAATTTTTTTATTAAGCCCATTGAAGAAATGGGCCATAATACGTTCAGGATCGTCAATGTCAGCTTACTTCAGCAATATCTCCAACTCCTTGTGGTATTCATCCACCGTTCTTGATCCTTACTTCAAACCTTCTAACCTCCTTAGTACCCCATGGTGATGATGTGGCGGCACGAATTTCCTCCACATGAGTCCTTGCAACTCATTCCAAGTGCGCATGGGAGGCTCTCCGTGTCTACGTCATGAGAGGTTGGTCTGGTCCCAACATGATAAAGCATATTTAGAGAACTCCATGACAACAACACGTAACTTTTGTCGCTCTGAAAGTTGTATGTAAAAAATCAACTCAATTTTACGCTTTCATTCTAGTAACGCCTCGGGATGATACTTTCCATTGAAGGATGGAACTTGGAACTTAACGGGTGGTGCAACATCATCATCATACCTTCTTCGGGGGTTATGCTGCCTCTGTCATGGAAGTTCATCATTCAACTTTTCTTCTTCATCTTCATATTCATGCTCATACCTCCTTGGTTCACAGAGGTTACGTCGGGAAGCTGGTACTTCTTTTGAAGAGTGTTATTTCTAACTTCCCTTTCACGAACACCTTCCTCGTCAAGGGCTTCGGAACAATGTGGAGTACCTTGCCGCTGTTGGTTTAACTCCAACTTATCCATGCGGTCATTAAGCAAAAATATAGGATGGTGTAACTCATTCATTTGGTTCATCACAAAGTTCAAAAGGCTTTGAACATCTACATTTTGAATCCGTGTGACCTCCTCTCCTCCATTAGAAAAATTAATATGGAAATATATGTATTGATTAGTTAGAAAATAAGCCCTCACAACTCTCGTGTTTCACTCCTCATGTATTGTACCTCTTCGTCTTGCACAAAGCACAAATTAGATCGGTGAAGTGTCACAAAAGATGTGACAATAAAAAAATTTCAAGAGAGTGAAAACAACTACGAAGAACTAGAATAAAGTTGAGAATTAAAAAAAAAACACTTATGATGGGAAATGCGGATCTAATAATAAAACAAGCAAACAAGAGTGCTGCTTTTTAATTAGCACAAGCTTTGTGTAATTTTTTTTTTTCGTTTTTTTTCTGCATAATTTTTTTTGCCATTAAGAATATCACTAAGTGTGGGAACTCGAGCTAACTAGCTCTGATACCAAAATGACGTAACTCGTGTGGGTTCATATGTTTTTCCTAGATTAAAGAAGAATAACCTTAATCAATGTAAGAAATTCGAAAAAGAAAATAGATAAGATAGGATAGAAATTTATACTCAACATAGTTGATTTAGAATCTCAAAAATTTATTTTGGACCCAAAATCCTAATTAAGGAAAATGAACAAATCAATAGGCTTAATTCATCTGTAAGAATTTAGAAGCCACGAACTAATGTATAATTTCAAATATCCGATTTGAATTCAATTGTCCAAGGAATCACTCACTCACACTATTAAAGTAAATACAATGGAAAACACAAGTTTTCGATGGAAGTGAAATATATGATTTGCCAAGTTTATATGAAAATGAATACAAGTGCCTTTATATAGAGGCCAATGGGAGAAGGGACAAAACACTTACTACAATTAAATTGACAACAAATTCCTATAAGAGAACATATTCCAATACAATTAATGTTTACTTGTTCCCATAAAATTATATTACTGATAGATATCATTAATGACAACATATTCCTAAATGTGTATTACCAATATCACATTATTGACAACATATTCCTAAAAAAGTATATTTCTAAAATTGTAATTAATAATAATAATATATTCGCACACGTGATGTAAACAATGATGTCAATACTTATAATGTACGCAATGACATCATGACAATGCTTATTATGTACGTAATTTTATCATCACATGCTTCAATTATTTGAGCTTGTATAACCATTAGGCTTGGGTCGATTAGTCTCCATGTTTCATCCCTGTGTAAATTCTTCTTCTCGAATTCTCAGATTAAATCGAAAAATTGATCTTGGAGTTTACGAGCTCGGCTTCGGGTAGTTGGTCTAAATGGTTTGGGAGACCTTTGGACGTCCACGTCATGAAGTATACCATGTTGACACATATATTGATTTGATTGTTCAAAGAAGTATTGTTTTGTTTTATCACTACATAGAACAACAAAAACTTGAATATTAAATTGAGTTTCGATCTCAACATAGAAGGCAGAAAAGTGAGAAAAGACTTCATAACGAGATTTCATAAAATATATCAATTTTATTCGAGAAAAATCATCCACAAAAGAAATAAAATACCGAAAGCCTGATTTTGACACTATAGAACTAGGATCCCAAACTTCAGAGTGTACTAACTCAAGCAGACTACTTGACCTTCTATTAGACCGATGAACATATGCTAGCCGATATAGCTTACTTAAATGACATGACTCACAATCTAAAGACTTAACATGACGAAACTAAAGGTGTAATTGTTTTAGCAATGGTAGTGAGGAGTGACCAAGTCGATAGAGAGCTTCAAAAGGCGTATGAGTACCACAATATGCAATACAGGAATCAGACTCAGCGGGTGCAGGAATATCAAGGATATAGAGCTCCTCTGACGTATGTCCACTACCAACAATCTTCTTCGTCAGACGGTCCTGGAACAGACAATGATCAGGGAAGAATGAGACAAAACAATTTAAGGCATAAGTGAGTTTGCTAATAGAGATCAAATTAAATGCAAGGCCAAGAATATGTAACACAGAGTGTAATGGAAGGCATGGTGTAGGATTAGCGGGTCAGAAACTCTGATTTGGAACAAACCCTTCCTCAGGCAGCAAACAAACCCTTCACCAGATAGCAGATAGATGGACTGGCAGCTGATGGAGACTCCAGCAACGGGCGACTTCGGTGAAGGATGGCCTCCAAACGTCCTCAAAACCTGCTCGGATACCACGAATGAATAAATTGTATCTCTATTCTCTCTAATTCTTATTGTTGATATACATTTAGATTTACAAATATATATAGATACATTGGGCTAGACCTATAAGATACTACTTTGGACTAGGCCCATTAAGATACAATTAACTATATGTTTAACAATATATAACACTTCCAATATTCAATGGTAAGAAAACCCTACTAGAATATTAACTAAGGTTGTAACCTTTAAAAGGTTGTAGCTATGTATCAATTTAACGGGACTTGAAGAATAAGAAGAAAAGATTTGGCACTGTTATTGATGTTGCAATATAATTGTAAAAGTGAGATACAATCAATTTTTAAATGAGATGTTGCTGGATTGTGAAGCATGATAAAAAGCGTGAACTGGCTTAGGACTTTGTCGGTATTGGCCAAAAATCTTTTCTTGATAAAATCTTTGTGAAAATGCCTTGTAGTGCTGTCGGATGAAGATTCAATTGTGATCGAATAGGGTAACCAAATATTGTGTCTTCTGTGAGTGCGTTTTTCTTTTCGTTCTTTTGGATATTATTGTAACAAGTTCCTTGTAAACTTTGTTGAATAAAGTGTGTTGCATTCAACCTAGGGAATAATATAGTTCATCCAAGAGCACCCAAGAGGGATGTATCTCTTTATGCTTGAAAAAGGGATATGCAAGCCTAGACAATGAGTTTGAAAATGGTTTCGTTTTTATTTTTTTATTTTTTTGACTTTACAAATGGTTTTAATCTTAGTTCTTTATCTTGTGAATAATGCTATTGGGCCAATCCATTTCTTTGTTACCGCAACATGTATAATATCTTTACCACTAAATTATTTGGTTGGTCTAAGGTTGTAATTGACAACATATATCTGCAGGTAAGCTGGAAAAAGATGCCACCAGGCGCAGGTGAAAACTATCTTGCTCTTACTGGACCTTTGCCAGATTTGTCTGAGTGGTCCTCTGCTCTTCCCAGTGGCAGTGACCTTAAATCAAGCATCTACAAATGGAAGATTTGCAGTGCCGAAGACCCTTGATAGAAGGAACTACATTACACTGCACCAAACTAACACAATTGCTATACATGGTATGGTATGTATGTATGTATACCCATCTTTCTTTTGTCCCTACCTTTATGTCCTCGATCTTCATACTGCAATTTTGTTGGTTGGTTTTATTCAGTCAAATATATGTATGGCAAAATTATCCATAATTGCTTTATGGTTTCGAAATTCAGTGTAAATTTCTCCTTTACTTTAAAAATTTCATTTGCGCCCTGTTGAAATGTGACTTGAATTTAGTGGTCTACTTGATCCAAAACCAAAGTAAAAAGGTTGTTTCAATTGGCAGGATTACTTTTGGGCTTATCCTTATTAATAACAAATAGGCTTAGGGTTTAGGGTGTTTATAAATAGATAACTATGGTTCCTAGTCGTATGACATGGTTGTAACTCTTTGAATCAGTATAATAAAATCTCTCCGGTTCCTGCCCGTGGACGTAAGTTGACACACCGTCACCAAACCAAGTATAACTTCTGCATTCTTTATTTGCTTTCTTTCTCGTTTTCTCACAACAAGTGGTATCACAACCATATCTAATTGATTGAAGATATTCTCGTATAAGTTTGATCTGGAGAAGTTTAATGGGTCGAATGACTTCACGATCTGGAAGGTCAAGATGGGGGCACTTCTGGTTCAACAAGGATGTGCGGCTGCGTTGGATGGAGAAGACAAGTTTCCTAAAGACACGAAGGAGGAGATAAATAAGGGGATTCTGGCAAGGGCTCATTCCGCGATCTTGCTGTCAGTTATTGATGAGGTGTTACAGGAGGTTGTAGATCAGACGACGACTTTTGGGCTGTGGAATAAACTCTGTGAGAAGTACCAAAACAACTCTCTCATGAACAGGTTATATCAGAAACAACGTCTTTACACCATCCGGATGTCCAAAAGTACTCAGGTAAAGGATCATCTTGATACCTTTAATCGTATTATTCTTAATCTTCAAGGGGTTGAGGTTAAAATAGATGACGAAGATCAAACTCTAATTTTACTGTGTTCACTACTTGGTTCATATGAGAATTTTGTAGATACTATACTAATGGTAGAACTACAATTTCTATTAATGATGTGAAAGATGTTGTTATGTCCAAAGAATTGAAAAGAAAGGTTTCTCTAGAAGAGGGTTCTGGTTCAGGTATGTTTGTAGGTAAAAGAAGACCACGTGAGAGTGGTAACGGGAATGGGAGGTCGCGTTCAAAATCAAAATCCTCTAGCAAAGTTAAGTGTTATCGTTGCAAGGAGAAGGGACACATTAAAAAGGATTGTCCACAGAATAATGGAAATACAAAAGTTGATTCTAGTAACAGTGGCAGCAGTGCTGCTGTGGTACAAGACAATTCTGATGATGGGGACCTTGGTGAAATTCTGACTGCGTGTAGTGTTAGTATTGCTGATTTCTAGATTATGGATACCGGTGCTTCTCACCATATGACGTTCTCTCATGATCTACTCACTTCTTTTAAGGAGTAGAATAGAACAGTGAAGTTAGGTGATGATGGGTTCTAGCCATAAAGAGGAGCAGGATAGTGCATATAAAATTGCATGACGGTACTGTCAGGAAATTTGACTGTTGGTATGTTTCTAAACTCAGAAAGAATTTGATTTCTCTTGGCACTTTAGCCAAAAATAGTTTAAAAATATTATGGTGAAGGTGAGTGAGTGAAAGTTCTGAAAGGTGCTTTGGTGATGATGAAGGGAAAACTGCAACATGAAATTTATTTTCTACAGGGCAATTCAGTATTGGGAACGGCGGCGGTATCCCAGTCCTTGGATAAACATAATGATAGGACAAATTTATGGCACCGTCGATTGGGTCACATGAGTGAGCAAGGGTTGTCTGTGTTGAGCAAGTAGGGTTTATTTGGTGGGGATATGACATGTAAAGTTCAATTATGTGAGGCTTGTGTAAAAGGGAAGCAACATAGGGTGAGGTTTAGTACTGGTCATCACACTTCAAAAGAAATTCTGGAGTATGTTCATTCAGATTTATGGGGTCCCTCCCCGGTGAAATCGCAGGGCAGTTATTCTTACTTTTGTCACTTTCATAGATGATTATTCAAGAAAAGTCTGGTTGTACTTTTTAAAGACTAAAGATGAGGTGTTTAGGAAGTTCAAAGAGCAGAAGATCATGGTTGAAAAAACGGACGAGTAAATAGGTCAAGACTCTAAGAACTGATAATGGGTTGGAGTTCTGCAACACTCTATTTGATGGCTTTTGTAAGAAAGAAGGTATTAGTGAGGCACCACACTGTACGACACACACCACAGCTAAATGGAGTTGCAGAGCGAATGAACCAAACCCTCATGGCACGTGCTAGGTGTATGCGCATATTTTCTGGCTTATCTAAGCAATTCTAGGCTGAAGCAGTTAACACTGCTAGCTATCTGGCTAATGGATCTCCATCAACTGCAATTAACTTAAAGACTCCTCAAGAGGTATGGTCCGGTAAACACTTTGATTACTCTAATCTAAGAATATTTGGATGTCCTGCATACGCTCATGTGAATGATGGTAAGCTGGAGCCGAGGGCGGTAAAATGCATATTTATAGGGTATGTAACATGAGTCAAAGGTTATCGACTGTGGTGTACAATAGGTAAAAATCTTGGTAAATTTCTTATTAGCATAGATGTAACCTTTTTGATGAATCTACTATGCTTGATTAGAGTAGAGGTTGTGAAAGTATTGCAGGTATAAAAGATTGTGGTGCTGACCAGAGGGTGGAGTTTGAGACTCCTGACAGAGTTGTGTAAGAGGAAGAACAACAGGATAATACTATTGATCAATCTGATCAACCAGATCAGTCAAAACCTCAAGGGAAACTGGTTGAGGAATAAGCTGATGACGCTGGTTCTGGGGTTGAAGATTCCATAGCAGTAAGAAAGGGAAAGAGAAATATTCAGAAATCAGCTAGGTTTGCAGAATGTGTCAATATATGTGACATGAATTCTGTGGCTTATGCATTGGCGGTTGGTGATGATGTTGGCTCTGATAAGCCAAAGACATATAAAGAAGTTGTGGTGAGTAAAGATGTAGAAACTTGGATTATTTAAGAGATGCAGTCTCTTAAAAAGAACAAGACTTCGGATCTTGTTGCACTACCAAAAGGGGTGAAGCCAGTGGGATGCAAATGGGTCTTTAAAAGAAAGAAGGGAATTCCTAGTGTTGAACTTGCTAGGTTCAATGCGAGACTGGTGGCAAAAGGATTCTCACAGAAGGAAGGAATTGATTACCATGAAATCTTTTCTCCTGTGGTGAAACACAAAACCATCTGGGTTCTTTTGGCAATGGTGGGTGCTTTTGATCTGTAGCTGGAGCAGTATGATGTAAAAACAACATTCCTTCATGGTAATCTAGAAGAACGGATTTACATGTCTCAACCGGAGGGGTTCGACAGTTCTAAGGTGACCAGGTATGCTTGTTAAAGAAATCTCTATATAGCTTAAAGTAGTCTCCGAGGCAGTGGTATAAGAGATTTGATTCTTTCATGGTGTCTAATGGTTATACTTGTAATCAATTTGATAATTGTGTTTATTCGAAGAAAGTTTCTAGTGATTCATTTGTGTATCTGCTGTTGTATGTGGATGATATGTTAATTGCAGCTAAAAATATGGTTGTAATTAATGACTTAAAGGCTCTACTATAGGGTGAGTTTGAGATAAAGGATTTGGGTGCGGCAAAGAAAATATTGGGTATGAAGATCTTGCGTGATAGAGAAGCAAGACGGCTATGGGTTTCTCAATAAAAGTATATTGAGAAAGTTTTGCAGTCATTCTCTGTTGATCAGTCCAAACCAGTAAGTACTCCTTTGACGGCACACTTTAAACTTGATCGAAGCACTATACCGGTTACAGATGAAGAGGTTAGCTACATGAAGACGGTTCCATATTCAAGTGCAGTTGGAAGTCTTATGTATGCGATGGTATGTACGAGACCGGATCTCGCTTATGCGGTTAGCGGGGTGAGCAGGTTTATGGCTAATTTGGGTAAAGCTCATTGAGGAGCTGTAAAGTGGATCTTGCGATATTTGAAAAGAGCGTCTAATATTTGTCTGGTATATGATGATGAAGGCCATGGTGATGGTCTAGTTGGCTATGCAGACTCTGATTATGGGGGTGACTTGGTGAAACGAAGATCACTGACTTGCGTTATCTGCACTCTGTTTGGATGTACAGTCAGTTGGAAGTCTACTTTACAACCTACGGTTGCACTGTAGACGACTGAGACGGAATATATGTTAATGACTGAAGGTATTAAAAAGGGTATCTGGTTACATGGTCTGGTGCAGAGTTTGAGTCTGAAGGTGGAGAAATCAGTGTTATTCTGTGATTAGTCAGAATGCTTCGAGTTTGGCTAAAAATCCAGTGTATCATGAGAGAACCGAATATATTGATGTAAAGTTGAATTTTATCCGTGATGTTTTGGAGGAAGACATGTTTTCTATTCAGAAAATAGCTACATAAAACAATCCAACTGATATGTTGACAAAGGCGCTACCAAAGGAGAAGTTCGAGCACTGCTTGAACTTGGTGAATATTCACAGGAGGTAAAGTCTTCTTGGGGCATCTGGCAGGAAGGAGACGACTGAGAGATACTGACGAACCTTTGGCCGTTGGAGAAACTCCAAGTCAAGGTAGAGGTTGTTGAAATGTGACTTGGATTTAGCGGTCTACCCGACCCGAAACCAAAGTGAAAAGACTGTTTCAAGTGGCAGAGTTCCTTTTTGGCTTATCCTTATTAATAACAAATAGGTTTAGGATTTAGAGTGTTTTAGGGTGCTTATAAATAGATAGCTATAGTTCCTAGTCGTATGACATGATTGTAACTCTCTGAATCGGTATAATAAAATCTCTCCGGTTTTTGCCCGTTGACGTAGGTTGACACACCGTCACCGAACCACGTAAAACCTCTATGTTCTTTATTTGCTTTCTTTCTCGTTTTCTCATAACACGCCCCCTCACACTTTAAAAGATATTGCATGAAACTCATCTGTGGTTTCGAAACTCAGCATAAATTCCCACTTTTCTTTAAAAAATTGCATGACACCCCTTTATACTTTCAAAAATATTGCATGAAACCCTCATGTCATGCAAAACATATAGATAAAAGATCATCTTCTCATCACACAAGGGAGGTTTTATGGTGGTGGGGTTTCATATAATGTTTTTAAGGTA